GGACCTTGATCCGTTTGGTTCCCACTGAAGTCCATTAAATGGAGAAAAATGCTGAAATGTTTTCATCAAAAACCTTCATTTCTTTTCGACTGAAGAAAGAAAGACATGGACATCTTGGATGACATGGGGGTGAGTAAATTATCAGCAAAAGTTTTTTTTTTTCAAAAGTGAACTACTCCTTTAAATTTACAGTAAAATATATATATATATTTCATTAACTGATATAATGTAAATATACCATAGTCTAATAAAAAGGCACAAGATATTAGTATGACTACCACCAAACACATGTGGTGGTGAGTACTTCACATGATGAATCAAAGCTCATCATAAGCAGCTTTTCTACAAGCTGAGAATATAAATACTAATATATAAAATGTGCACTTTAGAAACAACTAAAGAAGAAACTTCATACATATTTCAACTAAAATACATCACATGTGAAGTCTCATGCAGATATTTCTGGGAATGCAAATTTATGCTTTTTCCTTGTAAATTAAACAATGACTCATTCTTATTCACTTCTAAAAAAAGTTGTAAAATTACATTAAATATAAGTTTAGATCTATTACAGTTAATTACCGTATGGAGATTTACTGCTAACAAATTAACAGGTTTTTACTCTTAAAATCACGATAATTCTTTTACAGTCATTGTGGATAAAAACAATATCAACTTCAAATGTATGGACAAAAAGACACTAAGAATTTTTTTTTTTAATCATCTTTTTGTGTTCCAGTAAAAAAGAAACAAATAGGGCATCAACGAAACAGTAGAGAAAGAAATCTCTGATGACCGAGGCACTCCTTCATTAAAATCATTAAACTAAGGAGTGCCTCGGTCATCAGAGATGTCTTTCTCTACTGTTTCCTTGATGTCCTACCTTGGACCGAAGAGCACCCAGGTTAAACTTTTTTAAAAGGAATTGAGAAACAGAAACAAATAGGGGTTTGAAACAACACAAGGGTGAATAACTGATAACAGGGTGAACTATCCCTTTAAAGTGTAAAAATACTGTATGGGCTCTGCTCAGGTTTAAAACCGCATAGCACAACTGCATGGAAATATGAACAGACAATAAATAGATAAAAAGTCAGAGAAAAAAAAAGCATCACACAGACTGGTGATCATCCTCACTACCCCTCATTGAGCCAGAAAGAGACAACACTGAGGCGCATCTGGTCTCCAAATGTTGTAACTGACCCAAAATGCCTTGCTCTCTTCTCTTCCACCATTCATTATCTACTCTGCAGTCAGGCGCTTTGTCACTTGAGATCGAGCCGCCTCAGCTCAGTGCTTCATCACTAGCCTACGCTCAAGTAGAGCAGCACCCACGTGACAAATATAAATAAGGAAATACATGCAGATGTGGGGGTACACTGGCCTGCCAAAAGAAAATGACATCAGCCAAGAGAAAGAGCCAAGTCCCGCTCCACTGTCTCTTCTCAAGTAGGCTTTGCATCACTGCTGGAACACACTTCTTTTGAGCCATTTTTTTTTCTCTTTCTCTTCAAGAAGGAGAGTGAGGGTCCCCAGTGGGAGGTGAGTGTGATTGTGAGGGGATTTTGGGGGGCTCAGACGAGTATGCCGTCCATGTGAAGTGCATTAGCGATGACATGTACCTCCAGACTGCGGTAATGTGATCCCACATGTAAAAGAGAAGATCTCTTCCGGCCTGCCATCTCCAGTGAGGGACTTATACTGGAAAAAGCTGGCACGCTGGGTTTAAGAGATGACAAAGAGTTCATCACAGAGGGGATTTTAAACCGGTCCTGGGACCCCCACTGGGGCCCTTAAAAAAGTAGAGAAAAATATGAACAAATAAAGGTCTCAACTTTCTAAAAAGTAATAGATTTTTCTATGGCATTAAAAAAGGGAACACTGTTTTAGGGATGCTGAGTACATCATCTTTGACCTTTATATTTAATCGTGAGTTTATGATTATATGAGATTATGATTTCTGCTTGTGTACTTCCTTTATTCATGTAATGGGATAAAAATTCCCCATTTTGGAAACAAACCAATTGGTTCCCTTTACGGCTGTCAAACGATTAATCGCGATTAATCGCATCCAAAATACAAGTTTGTGTTTACATAATAAATGTGGGTGCACTGTGAATAATTAGTTTATATATATATATATATAAATACACACACATGCTAGTATATATTTAATAAATATTTTCGTGTATATCGATTTATATATAATTTATATTATATATAAATATTATTTCTTTTATAAATATACATGCATGTTATACAAAATAATTATACACAATGCAACCACATATATTATCTAAACACAAACTTTTATTTTGGATGCGATTAATCGCGATTAATCGTTTGACAGCCCTAGTTCCCTTATTCCTCACGATTATGACAAGTCACTGAAACATTGAGTACATGCTTTTTTGAAGTCAAGAACTTAATTTCACTCAAACTCAGATCAACTTTAACCTTCAAATTCCAGTCACAGCTGTCAAGCACTCCAGTCAAAACTGCCTGCCAAAACGTACTCAGCTGAGAACGCAGTCATTAGCCAAAAAATGTGCACCGCAAAAACCGTGGGAGGAAAAAAAAAAACCCCGTAGTTGTAGCACTTACGCTTGAGCTGTGCACCTCGGCCAGCCGTTTTTTTCCTCCCTGACTTTGTAACTCGCAAACTTTAATGGCTCTTGAGAATTTGTAGCATCTCAATCCAACCTGTCAAGAGACAGAGGGAGCACTTTGCTTTTATCTGCTCAGCGCTGCTCCCGACATCTGGAGGCCGTCCATCGGTAAATCTCTCCGGCTCCACGCTAGATCCTTTATGTATGTTTAAGCTGTTACACGAAACAGACCCGGCTGACCTCTGCGGCACCCGCTGCCACTTGACTGGATAGAGACACCGGCTGTCTGCGGCCTTAGATGAATAACAGTGATTAGGAGGCATAAATAAAAAAAGTTCAAGATGATTATCGCTAATTTATTCATAAAAATGACAGTTCGCGAAACCGAGTGGGTCGCAAGGTCACGGGCGGTGAACGTCTCGCTGTCTGGGTGCATTAGTGCGGAGATGAAAAGGGGAAAGGCTCGAGGTTGTTGGACTCGCAGCAAGGACGTCTCTTACCACAACATGATTTGTAGTGGGATGCAGGCTGTGTTCAGGTGTGCACCAACACTTATTAAAGTGATAGTTCACCCAGGAATTAAGTCATTTACCCACTCTCATGTCTTCATACAATGAAAGTGAGTGGTGACCATAGCTGTCAAGCAGATTTTTCAGTGAATTATGACTTAAATTTCAGTCTGGTCCTCATACAAAGCCATTGCATGACCTATGACCTTAGGTCTTATGGACTATATTTATTGTGCTCTTAGGCCGTGCGTCCACCAAATCGTTTTTAGCCAGCTGAAAACGGCAGACGCTTTGCTGAAGACGCCGTGCTTTGGGCGCTTGAGAGAGTTTTGGCAGCGCAGCGTTTTTCCATTGAGACGTTTCATTGCTATGATACAGAATATCCGCAGCACAGCTTACTTGTAACTGATTTCGCAGATAATGTTGATGTTTCATACTAAAAATGTATTTCTCATCCCTGTTGATGTCGTTGTACAGAAATAATGTTGTGACAGTTGGTCGGTGTGGTATTAGTCCCGCCCCCCCCTCCACTGTGATTGGACAGTTAGGCTGTGTGTCCACCAAAGCGTTTTTCCACGCGCCTGGCGTATGTTTTCAATTGTTTTCAATGGGAGTGCCGCTTTTTTTAAACGGTATGAGCGTAACAAGACGGTGAGCGTTTTTTTCACGCTGAAGCGCCGAGCGCCCAGCGTTTTGACTGGTCGCTGGGAGTTGAAAAAATGTTCAACTTTGGATAAAACGCAGCGCTCATCACTGTCACTTTTTACCCAGCCGTCCAATCACAGTGGAGGAGGGGCGGGACTAAAAAACAATGACCAAATGTCACAACATTCTTTCTTTACAACAACATCAAACCAACAGAGATAACCGAAGAAAATGGATGACAAATAATTTTTTGTACGAAACAAATTATCTGCGAAATCAGTTGCAAGTAAACTGTGCTGAGGATATTCTGTATCATAGCAACAAAACGTTCTGCTGGTCAGCGCAGCGTTTTTTTCGTTGAGAAGTTTCGTTGCTATGATACAGAATATCCGCAGCAGTTTGAATGTTGTGACAGTTGGTCGGTGTGGTATTAAAAACGCTTTGGTGGACACACGGCCTTACTTTTTATTTATTTTTTTTATTTGACAGCACCTGAGCCTATCCACTGCCAGCACATGGGAGAAAACACAGTGAACATTCTTAAACAAAATATGTTGGGGGTGCAAGAAACAAAATCAGGCCCATGATTTGAGGAAGAAATGAATAAATGAATGAATGAATGAATGAATGAATGAAGGAATGAATGGATGAACGAATGAACCAATGAAAACACATAAATGCTTGTTCATTTATAATCATAATATTTAAATATTAAATAATCAAAATTAATTAATTTAATTTAACTTTTAATTTAAATCAATTGTTCCATACATATATGCAATACCGTTCAAAAGGGGTCAGTAAATTGTTTTTTAAATAAATTAATAATTTTATTTAGCAAGTATGTATTAATAGATAACAGTTAAGATGTTTATATCATTACTATATATATATATATATATATACATACATATTGAAGACTGGAGTAATGATGCTGAAAATACAGCTTTGCATCACAGGAATATATAACATTTTTAAAATACATTAAAACAAAAAGCAAAACAATTAAAACAATTTTAAATCAAAAGACTTCTTTCAAAACCATTAAACAATCTTACCAACCCAAAACTTTTGAACAGTTGTATAGAGTCTCAATACTTTTCAAAGTGAATCCCTTTCACTGTCTTTTGCTCCCTCTCATTCTCTTTTACTTCCTCTCTCGCTCACCCACTCATCTAAAGAATCAAGCCTTTTGTGTATTAAGGCTCTTGGTTTGGGCAACGTGTTCTAAATCAGATCCTACGGTGAGCCAGGTTTGAAGGCTTTGGCTCCAAAGAGACTTTCCTGTGTCTGAAAGCCATTTTGGGCCCGGGCTCTGGTTTCACCCCATCTTTGGGCAATCGATATATCAGGCTGTTTCTACCCTGGGAGCTTCTAATGGCAAGAACTCTGGTAACATTATATGTCTAACAGGGGCGGAGGAAGAGAAAACCAGGAGCTTGAGTCTCAATGTGATGCTTCACTCGGCAATAAATCCAAGTGGCAACAAAGTAAGTAGACTGCATAAAAGAGATACGAGCAAAAACATGAATAATTCCAAACACGCAATGCAACAAGGGAAATGTTGGCAGAAATCTTCAAAAGGAGACGAGCACACAGTGAGCGCCACAGTGTCTGGATGACTCCACCTTTTTCGGGGCAAACTAAGAGCAAATGTACAGATCGACTCTCGAGGTTAGCGGTATGGACTTCATAGAGTCAGAGGTGCCATTCAACCACTAAAAGCTCCCGCCCCGCCGAGCTCTCCGACCGGCTGGATTCTGAGGAAGAGATGCTGAGGTAATGGCTTCCTTATGGACTCCCGGAGCAAGAGTGATGGGCTGACAGAAGGTATGTTAAATATCTCCCGCTCTGACTACAACATCGGGACCCTGACCCCTTTGAAAGAGAAGGCTTAACAAGGGACTCCGAAGGTCAGCGAGCTGTAATATGTCACCGGGATTTAAAGGGAAGACGATTGTGCTGTGTTTACATGAGCTGAGGTTACACTATTTTCAGCCCAAGAAGGAAAAATGTGGGAAAAGGTAGGAAAGCCTGCTGTATCATATTTGATACACACAAATTTCTAAGGCCTCTAAATTATTAACATGATCAAAACTTTCTGAAAAAGACTTTTCACAATCTATTAAATGCCTTCTTTCCAACATTTGATCAAGTTTTTTGTAATATAATTCTAAAAAGTCGTCCATCTTGAGGTCATAGTACAGTGTCTTTCTGCTGTGAAAACAATAATGATTTTTATAAAGTAAATATAATAATTTATTTTATATTGTTGGTAATATTTCAAGATGAACACAGGACTGAATCAACTTAGGTTTAATTTTTTTTTTTTTTTTAATATGTAAAAATCTATCTAATATATGATGCATTTGTATGTCTCAATCATCATGGTATTGTGTTGCAATATATGTTGGGCGCCCAACCTCCACATCATAAAACTAAACATTTATATATCAGACATATTATTGGGAGATATAGAGTGAAAACTGATATTTATATTTTAGATTTAGATTTCATTCATTTATATCACAAGTAGGGCTGGGCAAAAATGAATTGCGATTAATCGCATCCAAAATAAAAAGTTAGTGTTTAAATAATATATGTGTAGGTGCTGTGTATAATTATTTTGTATAAATATACACACATGCATGTATACATTTAAGAAAATGTGTTATTCATATATAAAATATTTATATTTATATATAATATAGATAATGTATTTACAATTAAATAATATATATATTTATATTTATAATTTATATATACACAATAATTATACACAGCACACACATGAATATATTATGTAAACACAAACTTTTATTTTGGATGAGATTAATCATGATTAATCTTTGCACGGCCCTAATCACAAGCTTTCAAAATCAACTTATTTTTTGGCCAAAATTATATCAGCAACTGCACCATATATGTGCTCAATTTTGGCTTGTAAATTAAATTGAGGTATAAGCTCCATATTTTCACTAAATCATAATATACTGTATGAGCCATGTATCAAAAATGATACCCAACGAAAACACATATGAAAACCTTTTTTTAAAGATAAAGTTTTTTTTAGTTTAAAGGTTCAATAAACATCTGTTTAATTGTATATTTTATGTGTTAGACTACAGGGTCAATATTAACTATTTATGTACATTTCAAAGTTATGAAAATAATCGTTTAATGTTTATATGTCTATGTTATGTTTTACTATGCTTTAAAGACAAACCATGTGTAAATTCATCAGTCAACACAAGTATTTCGTCCTTAAAATGGTTTCCTACCGAAAAAAAAAAAAAAAAAAAACGTGTCATTTTGATTATCGAATACGAGTTGTAAGGAATACAATTATTGACTGCTTTAATTTCACATGCCGAGTGCAGTTTGACACACTTGAGGTTGGCTTTGAGAAATGAACATGTTAATGGACAGAGTCATGTTTGTGTATTGCTTTCTGTCATTCAGACAAATATTTCAGCAGCCCACCGTGACCAGTAACAATAGACAATGTGTCATGTAGCTGGAAAACAACATTAGAAAGATAAATAAAAGAGAGACAACTCACCTGAGAGCATAATAACATAACTAGTTCCACCACAGAAGTGCTTGATTTCATGCACACCAGACCTGGAGGAAAACAGAAAGGAAAAAACAGAAATAAATAATTATGATTCACAATATTCATAAACACGCAAAACCAAAACATCTGCAAGAGTTGGTGAAGGACATGCCATACATATGGCCTCAGAAAAGGTATGGTGTACGGCCTGAAAATGCAACCATTTAATGTCAGGCCATTTCTGATGAGTTATGTTTTGAAGTTGAGATTGAATGTCTCTTGTCGTCTGTGCGTTATGAATCAGATGGCTAACAGCTCGCGGGGTCACTAATAGTGTCTCTTGAGAGGTCAGAGGTGATCTGCTGCATGCCAGTGTGAGATCAAAAGCCAAGGCCATGGTCTCACTTGCAAATTTGCACTCATTTTATGTACAGATTTTACACAAATATGTATTCTGAAAAAGTGAGTGCAAAAATTTGAATATAGGATTAAAGAGTATTTATAAATTATATCGGCACCATTCTCTTAGAATCAGATGTTGATTGAGTAAAATATGTAGTTTTAAATGAAAAGTCTGTTGTTCATTGAATATAAAGGACAGTCGGTTAACCTCACAGATAAACAAGCTAATTGTAAATGACATGTGCAATTATTGCCAGACATTCAAGACAAACTTTCTCTTTCAAACACATGCGTACACCTGCATTTACATACAAACACAGCGCATGGCTGATGCCCTTGTTTGCATGAGCCAGTAGAGTCAGTGAGACAGGACTCTAATGAGAGAAAGATGAGCGAGAGCGAGAGAGCAAGAGAGAGAGAGAGAGAGAGAGCGCTCTGCATGAATGGTTTAATGAGACTCAGTGTGAGTTGTCGAGAAGATTTGCACTGTTACTTTTCTAACTGAACGGGCTTATTTTTTTTTCACATGGTGGTCAATAAAAACAGAATCGTTTCAGAAGTTCTAATTCTCTAAATCAAAACCGTAAATCCCAATAATCAACCTTGTATACACACAATCTGTGTTAAAACGGTCCAGTAAACTGAGCTTTAAGCTCTTTTCCGTCTGAGAGCACCACTTGTCTCGTTACCCACTTAAACATCCTTTTACAATGAATGATGGGTCCTAAACCATTCAGTCCATGAAGTTATGACCATAATATTTCAGAGGCCAAAAGTTCAAGTCCCAACAATCTCTCTGTCTCATTTATGAGGGTGAGACGGGGCCGTGCACACAGCAAATCCCCACCAGGGTCTCTCTCTTAAGTCAGGTGACAGTACTGACCTCTGGCTCACGCTGCTGGACAAACTAAATGCATTCTATTTAAACAGCAAGTCGCCCTGCTTTCCAGTTAGGCCACACTGGCGTGAATGTGACATTGTCAGAGGCCCGTAGCATTGCAGGCTTGGGCGGTTTACTCTCACAAGAAGCGTAGTGTTCCGCCCAGGGGCTTCGCACTCAAACTCCAAGTGTCGGGAAGCTGTCCGAAGGCGAACAGGGTATAATTGCCCCCAGTGAACGAGTGTCTTGAGGGGGGCCGGGCAGGGGCTTGACCCCTAGTGCCGGGCCCGAGTGATGGATGAAGGGTAATTATGGGTAAATAGGGCGCCTTTGCACCGACTGAACAGTATTTCAGCTGTGAAAGGTTGATGAAGAGTGGAAGGGAAGGAGGTGGGAAAACAGACATCACTTCTTCTGGTCATGGGATGGTGTTAACATACTGGACAAATTAATGAGGGGGTAAAGAGTCATCTATGAGGAAGTCGCTGTCATGTGTTCGGGATTGGGGTTTGTTTGAGGACGATTGCAATGCAATTGTGGTTGGAAAAGCGAGAGGAGTGGTTGGTCAGATGATGCCTTTAATAGGATAGTTCAATCAAAACATTTATATTCTGTCATTGTTTACTCACTCTCATGTCATTTTGAGAGATTCTTGGTATTTAAACATTAAAAATACTACTTTTACTGTATCCCATGCGGCAATATATATATATTTTTTCCGGTCATTATAACATATGTTTAAATATGTGATAAAGATATTTTGTAAATTAAGGAAGTATCACTTTTCAAATATCAAATTGCATTTAAACTTCCAGATGCCAAAATATATAACAAAATGTACATCAATGAGAAAGAATAATTTATTTCTACTCTTAAAATACATTGTAGGTAATTCCATATAATTATATGTACTGTATATATCCCATTTTTCAAAATGTTTTCTTTTCTTGTTTCACAATCAAATAGGCTTGACATGAGTAAATGATGACAGAATTTTCCTTTTGGGGTGAACTATTCCTTTAAATTTGTTTAGCCTTTGGCAAGCATCCACAACACCCTTGCAACCGCATAGCAACGGGCTAAAACCACCCAGTGAACCTTTGCAACCTCACAGCAATGCCCCAGTAATCACTCAGAATTTGTTTAGGGAAATGAAGTCTTAGAAAACCAAGGGGTCAAGGCAGGTTAGCAAGGTCTAGTTCTCCCCTGCTGGTAAAGCCTGTTTAACTACACCATCTGAGAGCAAAAACCCACAATTGACAACTTACAAGAATTCACTAGTAACTTTACAAAATTGACACTTTAGGCAATCGTCCTAATGTGGACAGGATTAGGTTTGACTATGAAGATAAAAACAGAAAACTGGCTGTAATAATTCATAAAAAATAATCAGCGTTTGAGTCCAGGGCTGAATGCTTGTCTGAGTATTTCTTTCATGAAATGGCTGCCTGAGCTGTAGACACACATATTTCCAGCATGCTGTAATGTGGAGCAAAATTAGTCTGAACAAACTAGCATTGAGCGCTGAGGAGGATGTATACTATGATTTGGCACTGAGGGTGAAAGGTAAAAAAGCCTCAAAACAGAGCCTGGAGTGTGGGTTCCCGTTCAGAGAGAGGTTGCTTTGCCATGTGAGGCATGTGTGAGAGAGAGAGAGAGAGAGAGAGAGAGAGAGAGAGAGAGAGAGTGTGGCAGCTAGAGAAGGAAAGAAGCTCTATGCACGCTATGCAGAGCCCAGGAACAAAGAACGAGCATGCACAACCAAATAAAAATATAAAAAAAAAAAAATATATATATATATATATATATAAACACACACAATTGTTCAAAAATTTGGGGTCTCCTATGCTAACCAAGGCTGCATTTACTGTAATTGATCAAAAAATACAGTAAAAACAATAATACTTCGAAATATTCCTACCACATTTAAAATAACTGTTTTCTATTTTAATACATTTTAATGTAAAATTTATTCCTGCGATGGAAAAATTT